GTTAATGTATCAACAGTGCCCTTGTATTAGTATCAATATTACTACTACTATTATTAGTAGTAATTATAAATTATTCTAGTGTGTATTGTGAGGGTGTGAAGGCTTGGAGCAAGGATATGAAAATCATATAAGAGCAGAGGTGGGAATACACAAGTGAGATTATATTGTCAAGGAGGATTATACAGGGATTTTTCTTTTAAAAGTGAGAGGGAAAGTTAGTCTCTTCCAGAGAGTATCACAACAAAAACAATATTTTTTCAAGAGAGGCCATGCGTTTTATGTTTATATGGTACTAAACAGTGCCAAGCAGAGCTCTGATGCAGAGGTGAGGGGGATTGTGGGAACTATATCCAAGATGAGAGATGTGCTGCTCTACTGGTTGACTCAGATATGGATGAAGATAAATCCCTCTTTGTCCACGATGTCTTAAAAGGTGGTTAGTCTAGAAGTGTTTAGAAGACTTTGGATAGGAATATGATTTTATCATTTAGATAAAAAGTAGAGTTCACTCCTAAAGGAAACATTAAGAACCAAGTTACAAACAGGAGCTCTCAGTAATGTACACATATTTTTGACTAGAGTGGCATGTACAAATTTGTTTAAAAATATTTGCAGGTAAATCAGGAAATGAGCAATTTGAGAGTTTTGGAGTTTGTAGAAAACTTAGAGGCTGTGCACAGTCTTGTACATTATGTCTGAATATTTAAAATGCTAGTAACTGATTTTGCAGCTTTTTCTGGTACGTATATAGTGGTGAGTAATATATGAGATAATATGCTGCATTAGTGTACAGCTCTGATTGTTGAAAATGTATTTGATATACTGATCTAAATATCTACCTCTTTGTAGCTTATTATAGTAGATTTTTGTTAATTTATACAAAGAAACTCAAAATATAGAGTATTGTTTTCCTCAAAAAATGACTAGTGTAATATAAGGTGCTGTCATCTATCCATCTTATTTTCTTTATGTAACTTCAGTTTTTTACATTCTTTCTTATTTTTACCTATGACTACTAGGACTTTGTCATCATTATTCTTTTTTCCTCCCTCCAATTCTTTTGTATGTATAGGTTCCTACCTCAATTTATATTTAACAATAGGTTAATGGATGCATTTTCAACACCCAAAGATTGTATTGTTTAAACATCTAACCGGGGTATATATTGCTATTTAAATGTATTTGTTGCATTCATCTCTTCCATTATGACAACATGATGAGGTGATATAGAAAGGGGGTTTCTGGTGCAATGTCTCCTATTTTTCAGGCATTTATCAGATATTTAGTATGATACACACCTTGTGATTCAAAGAAGTAAACAGAAATATTCAGGCACATTATAGAGAATAAGCAATTAAAAATTTAAAGTATTTGACATCCCTAAACACACTGGAACATTTATAAGCATATAGACACACTTTTACAAACACTGTTCAGCTAATTCATGCAGAGCAGCACGATGTGGATTTTACATATATTTTCATAAACATAGTCTTGCAAACCTCCTCCTTTCTGTTGGAGTCACCTACCCTCATACATCTCTTAGATATTATACCTTGAGTTACTTAGCACCCACATTCAAATCTTCAGCAAAAATCTAGAGTCCCACTTAAAGTGTGATATATGGACAGGGTATGTTATCTCAGTTTTCCTCTGACCACCACAGGAAGGAGAGAAACCACCCCCAATTTGCACCACATATTATTTCTATGGATCAATCTGATTATGTTCCACATTGTGTGATTTTTAATAAAATACTTGACCTAAGTAATCTACCTAAGTGTCAGTCTCTTCATCTGTATATTAGGAATTGTAATAAAAAGTAACTCAGCATTTTTGTGATAATCAGTTAAAAGTGTGAGGTTCTCAGGACACTCACTAACAACAGTGAGACCTGAATACATAATTTATTTCATTTAATTATCATTATATCCTGGACTCAGGTGAGGATTCAGATTCTACATCTAAGTTTTTTATACTACTTTAGAGAAATACCTGTATATTCCCCTTCAGCTGTGGAGCTAAATATTAATAAGTGCAGGCCCTATGCTTATTCCTCTTATAATTTATTTTGCAAGTTTTGTTTCCTTTTTCTTATATGTCAACAATAATTTTGGATCCAGCTGTTCAACATGGATAACATTTAATAATGATGTCAAGAGGGTAAGGTGGGCTGTCAGAGGAGTCAAAGCTAGTCAAGTCTAAAGCCATCACTGCTCATTCATAAATCAGCATTGTTAAATTGCCAAATTCTGTGTTTCTACACAAGATATTTGAAAACTGCATATGACATATCATATGTATATGTACACAGTTTTCCTTCTTAATCAAGAACTGCTGAGTAGGCACAAACATGAAATGAATTAATTCATGGAAACTCTTGAACAACACCCCAAATAAGATGTTTGCTACAATCATGACATATCGATGTCTGTCGTGAGTTCAATAAATCATTCCTCGCCACACCACTCAAATGGCGTGGTATATTTTTTAAAGGACTGCATTAATAGCTTTGGGAGTTTACAGAATGTCAGGTAGTCATCCCTAGGAAGACTTTAAGCTGATAGGGAAACACAGTTACTGCCCTGGCTGAACTCAATGTGATAAAGAATAAACTGTTTGGACTTGATCACCCCTTAGAGGAGAGCTCTGGGAGACCTCACAGACATGATGTCTGCGTAAGGAGGGTCTCAGGTTTGGCAAACTGGGTAGTGGGGGTCAGAGATAGGGACTAAGAGACTTGTCTGGAAGTTGCACTTGTTTGAAAAGACTCTGGTTTTATGTCAATTGTGCAATAAATGTCCTTAAATATGACTAGATCAGTCCTTAAATATGACTTAAATAAATGTCCTTAAATAAATGTCCTTAAATATGACTAAATGGATTTTTATTTATTAACTGAAAAGGTTTTCTAAAGTAAGAAATTGTAAAAGAGAATGCATTGGTTATGAGTTTTATTTAAAATTCAAATCCATAAATGTAAATTTATTTTAAAAAATCCATAATTTTCAATATTCATCTTATTTTTTTCATAGATTTTTGACAATTAATAGAGGCTATTTAAAGATTGATAGGCTATAGAAACATATTACAGCACCTCTTGCTACCACATGACGAAACCTGAGTTCTCAACAAGATCCCATCACTTCTTATTTATATTTAAATACCTCTGTTTCTTAGAGTTCCATATCATACCTGAGATTATTTCTCAGCACATTGCCTCTAAATTTGCTCTGCAAGTTTACATATTGTTGTAGGCTGTCTTTCTAAAACAATCAAGAAAACAGCATTGAAATCCACTTCTAACAAATACATTGCATTTGTCATTTTTATAAAAACCCTTTGCCTGCCTGAAAATTTTAACACCACTTTTTTTTTGTAACTCTTACTGATATCCCTATAATGCTCAATAGGGACTAGGTTCATTATGTAGTTTACATTTTAAACAATGTGCATTTCAGACCAAATGCAATGGTAACTAGAAACCTATGTCCATAAATGAAATACATTCTATATGCAAACTTTAGAATAAATAAATAAATGGTACAAAGAGAAAGACAACCAAAATGACAATGAATGAAACCCTCGGGACCAACTTTCCAAGAACTCTCACAAAACCATTTGTACAAGTGACTGAATTTTTCAGGAGTAGACATTTATTAGTTTTGAGCTATCCTATATTCAAATAGCTCTCCTATTTTAGAGGAATCTCTCATCATTTAGCTTAAGTTTTGATAATTATTATTTTACCAATCTCTGGAATGTTTTTAGAGTGGTCACTGCCTAGATATAATATCAACATGGACAGTTTCTTAGGTGAGGCAGAAAGAATAATTATTCACTGGGTTCTATATATGAACTTTTAATCAGAAAGTAAGATGTCAGGAGGAAGTCCAACTAGAAGAACTAACTTAAAAATAGGAAGAATCAGCAGTCTTCAAAGAGTAATGAATGCAGCCTGTTACATCCTGTTATATAACAGCTTGTTACATGCCTATAAGGAGACTAGCTCCAAATACTAGCACGGAACTAACAGTAGATGAGGCAGTTATCATTACCTATAACATTAACAACAGGTAACAGACTGTGGTTCAACCAGAATGAACAGCATATGACTTACAGGCACTTGGACAAAGTTTGAAAGAAGACACTATTCTATCAGTGTAAAATATCTAAAATATGACATTACTTTTGCCAAGTTTTCTGATTGATTTGCAGAACTATTTCACGAAGTGAAAAAGAAGCTCTGAGTTCTTTTATGTGAGAATTAAGGGAGAAGAAATGGAAATGGGAGATGATGTCTAAATCTATAGTTACCCCTTTCAAAAGAAAACCATCAGGAGGCAAAGTAAAAAGCTGAGAAGAATAAAAATTGTTAAGTTAGTTTCAGCAGCCAAAAGGAAGAAGGAAAAAGGTGGGACAGGATCTGGCTTCCATTAGCTGATGGGAAATGTGTTTGTTGCTCTTGAGCTGTTAGTCTGTGTCAATTTCCTTTTAATAGTAAAATGCACTGATGTACTAAGGGAAACTGAAATTTCCACAGTAAGCTTCCTAGAATTCTAGATATTTGCTGTTGTGCCTCACATTTTTGTTTACTAATTAGAGCATCATGATTTTCAATAGAGTTAAATTCAAAACATGGACATGGAAGGATGATACTATATCATTCCAATTTACCTTTATATGACACACAAAATGTACCTCCAGTTGCACATTTTTCGTTAGAGGAGCTGTGCTTGAAGTAGGCTGTTTTAGACCATGTAACTCTATGTGAAATAGTATGTATTCTTATTTTGGATAAAGGTTCTAGAGTTTTCTATAGGGGCACTCCTTGTTTATTAGAATGTATATTTTCCTGCTCAAGTTATATTTTTTCTTTGTGCAATAATTAAAATATCATCTATCTCTGCAAAAAGAGACTCCATATAAAATCATGGTTCCCTTCTAAAGATAAGGAAGACCTAGATATTATAGAGATCTCAAAATTCCAAAATAATAGCTCAAGATCTAGTGTGCCCAGAAAATAGACGAACAATGCTTTTTTGAATCTGCTTGGTCTTGATGCTGTAAATAATGGGGTTCATGAATGGGGGAAAGAGAAAGTAAACATAGCTCATTGTAATATGAACCACGTGTGGTGCGTGCTTTCCAAACCTGTGGATGAAAGTCAGGCCGATCACAGTGATGTAAAATACCAGGACACAGCTAATGTGGGAAACACAAGTGTTGAGAGCTTTAGCTTGCTCCTCTCCAGAGGCAATGCCCATAACTGTCTTAAGGATTAAGACATAAGAAAAGACAATGATGAGAGCATCTAGGAAGACAGTCACAGCAACCAGAATAACTGGGTATATGCGATTAAATGTAATATCGGCACAGGCGAGTTTCATGACATCTTGGTGGAGGCAAAAGGCATGGGAGAGAACATGGGAACGGCAGTATGGGAACCAATAGAGTGGCAGGATTGGGGGCAAAATGGACACAACGCCCCTCAATAGAACCCCCAGCCCAATCTTCATCACTCGGGATTTGGTAAGAATGGAGTTGTACCTCAGAGGGGTGCGGATGGCAATGAAACGGTCATAGGCCATGGCAAGCAAGACACCCGATTCTACAATGGCCAGTGTGTGAATAAAGTAGGACTGAGTGAAACAGGCTCCCTGGGCAATCTCCCTCTGGTCCAGCATCAGGACGCCCAGGACTGTGGGCATTGTAGTTAGTGTCATCCCAAGGTCTGTACCCGCCAGCATGGCCAGGAAGTAGTACATGGGGTCATGAAGGCTGTGGTCATTCCAAATGACAATGAGGAGTGTGGCATTTCCACAAAAAATGGAGAGATAGATGGTAAAGAAGGGAATAGCAATCCAGTGGTGAATTCCCTCTGAGCCCAGGAAGCCCGTCAGCAAGAAGGGGGCTGCACTGTTGTTGGACCACATGGTAGGTGTTGCAGGTGGAGGAGAACTTTTCCAGAAGTAATGACCTTTAAGTAGACTGTGTTCTTTCTTTCTTTCACCATCTGCTGGTAGCACATCATAAGGTCATCTTTTGCCATAACACTTACAAATCTTTATATATTGTCTCAGTATTAATTAATTGTAAGCCTGTATTCATAAGGCCTCTCCCTAGAATAACAAATAATAGTAATAATAATCATGATAATACACCAATTTCCTGTGAAAGATAAAACATTTAATTTTCAATCACACACTTTATGTCTGTGTTTCTAGCCTTAACTCCTAATCTCAAACCGCTCTCCTCTAATTCCATTTCATTGTCTTCACTCTTTTATTCTTTCTCATAATATGTCTCTTATGGGCCCTTGCTGTATTTTATCCTATTTGGATTGGTTTAGATTTTCTTTTTTGAAACTAATGAGATGATTGTGTTAAGGATCAATCATTGTGAAAATGCTTCATCAATAAAAATGAGTCCCCATCAAGAGAAATGTTATTATTAGTATTGCCATCTCGAGTGGACTGTGAATAGGGAGAGAGTTTATGTGGCTGTCTAGAGAAATCTACACGAGTGGGTAGAGTGAGTAGAATATTTTAGAGAGTGTAATTACTCAGTGGACTTGAGACCCAGCAAAATTTCAGTGCTGCAAAAGGTCTGAGACCTGCAACATCAGAGACAAATTTTAAAACAGGGAAAAAAACACAAGTTGGGAACTCCTAAAGGAAGTTTTTTAAAGAAGGCATATTCTTAGAGTGAAGGCCTCCACAGAAGCCTAATCCGTATATAGAGTTATAAATTTAAAAAAGGTATTTACATGAAGGGTAATGATAATATCAGAAATTGGAGATTGAGTATATAAACTTTACACAGCCAGTTCCAGGAAAAAATAAGGACTGCCAGATGGGAAAAGATGGTGACTATGTTGCTGCTGGATGCAATTGTATAGACCCTCTAATTATGATAAAATCTACATCCAGAAATATTAATAATGATTTTTATAGGGGGCTGGTGAAATATGGCCTATTTATAATTACACGCCTACAAAATCAAGTTTGCTTTGTTTTCATGTAACAAAGAAATCTTGTAACAAGTTTATTACAATAACAGTTAAAGAGAACCATGAGAGAAACATTATATTTCCCCAAATTCAATTGGATCTATATGTATAACCTTTTAAAAAATCATTTCCTATCATAAGCATTTGTATTAATACCTCTAAAAGGAAATTCAGAAAAAAATGAAGTGATAATAATCTTTGTACCACTTCAATTTTATAAAAATCTATAAAATCAATGTATGTTTGAGAAGTCTGAGGCATGGTAACATCTCTAATAACATGCAATGGATGATGGGAGGAGATAAATAGAGGAAAATTAATGGACTGTGGAAATGCCTGCTACTTCAGAGACATTGTCAGTGACAAAAATGTCAGTCTGGGCACTGAAATAGCAGATACTCTATTGATGTGGACACTAAAAATATTGCCAACTAACCTGATCCACTGAATTATAACCTATGTGGGGCTCACCTTGGTAACATATATCCCCCCCTCCCCTGCTGGATGATATATGTATCGTTATCAATCCTCTTAACCTTCCAACATTGCCTTATAAGAGAACAGATAAATGCCATGATTTGTTGTACAGGATAGGAGCAAACCGCCTATTTTGACCTACTGTTATCCAGAAAGTGGACCAGAGAGAGGAAGCAAGAGAAGACCGAAATGTGCCTAAATTAGAATGGTGTTATCAAAGCCTGAACTATGAGTTTTCAATATTGGGGTCCTCATGGTTTAGGTACCAAAACAGTGTGGTAATTCTTTTGGGAATAGCTGTTATACTTAATTAATATATTTTTATTGATTTAAGTAGTACAGTACTCTATTGATTACCTAAAGTCCCTAGCTACAGCCATACTGACATTTAATGGTGGCAAATTTGGTGGTACCAGAAACTGTCCACACACTCGAAAATGCTAAGACTAGCTTCCCAGTTTAGGGAGTCTCCTAATATGTGGTGCATGACATCAGTGACAGTCTAAGCTTGGTGGAATTTCTTATCACCATCAGACAAGCCTAGAGGCTGCATAAGGGATGCAGATGTGAGTAGAGTTCACTATTCTCTCCTCCCATTCTGAAGGTCTTTGGACTGATTCTTTAAAAGTGGCTTGAGAACCCTGAGTTCTCAAGAGTTTCTGAGAGTAACATAGACATATCATTTCAAGTTTCTTCAACTTGCTGTTCTGACCAAGGCTGAGGAACTGTTCCAGAAATCAGTTATAAAGACATAAGAAGTTGAACAAGAACCCATAAAGAGCACATTAAGATCACGTTAAGAAAATGGAATAAAATCTTCTGTTTAGTTCCAGATAATCTGCAAGCACCCTGTACAATCAATCTCTCTTGACTCTACTTTTTCACCTTACCTATTGCCCAAAAAATCTGTGTTCCTTAGAAGAAATTAGTAAAAATAGATGAATAAATATTTCCAACTCAACTAACAGTGAGAAACCAGGAGATGGAGATGGTAATATGCAAGGTCTCAACTTTTAAGTGATTGTTCAAATCTTACCTTAAGTACAAATTAACATGGGCGAGTAGACGTGGAAAGAAACACTGGGAACTGAGGAAAAACTTTACTTTAGAATAAAGGAAAGAAAAATATCTCAAGGGAAAGGGCCAAAGAAGTAGGCAAATATATAAAAGGATAGCAAAGGTGATCTATACTTATATTTAAAAAAAAGCAGTGGAAAAGAAAGTTTGTAGAAGTAGGTAGTATAGTAGTTTAATGGTGAAAAATATCAGAATTGTCAAAAAAGACAAAAATGAAAAATGCCCATTGTTTTTGACAACTAGGTCTGTGGTGACTTTGACAATTTCAATAGAATGGCAGAAATAGATGCCTAATGATTGTGTGATGAAAAGTGAATGAAAAACAAGAAAGTGAAGGCAATATGTTATTTAGATTGTTCCAGTGGGTAAATTAACCCTTAGGTTAAGTAATTTGCCTAAGATCACACAACAAATATGTAGCATAAAGAAATTCAAACTCAGCTTTATTGGACCCAAATCCCAAACTCATATTCTCAACCAGTATCCATCAAATACAAATGATATAAATGACGCTCATCCAAGTTTGCCTTCCCATATGGTAGTCCCTTTCCTGAATTATTCTTTATTTAATTGAAAAAATACTTTCTGCTTTTTCACTCTTCATCCAAGAATTGGTTGCATAAGCCAGGTGGAAAAGTCACTTTTAAATACCTTTGCTGCATTTGAATCCATGGGCTTCCTTACCTGAGCCACAGTTCTTTTATTTGTGATTTCTGAGCATGATCTGAGGATTGAGTGTTTGCTATATCCTTAGTATTTATTCAGTGTCCTGATGAGTGATGTATTTGTTAAAGAAACAATTCCCAAGAGGTCATCCTAGCTCATTTCCATGTAGGGTATTTGGGAATACTGTGCCAAATATTACCCTTTTCCTTCCATCTGGGCCATTGAAGTTGGTCCCCATGGCCTCCATTTCTTTTTTGAATAGAGAACCTCTAAGAGAAGCTGAGTCTGTCACATCAAATGATGCATGACTTACCTGAATCACTCCCAGGTATTCTATGGGTCATACACTAAGAAGATTAGCCACTTTTTCTTTCTAAATGTTGGCATTTGAAGAACATTCTCCCCGTTTCAAACTGTTGATGTATTTTCAAAGACTGTAGTATTTTTAAGGATAATGATCTAATCCAACTCTTTATGAAATCTTGATCCACCATCTAACAAATTTATCTTGGTGATTGTCTGTCAGACATCTATTTGTTCTTTCCATTTATTGAACATTCACTACCTTATGAGGTAACTCATTCATATATACATATAAATATATATTTAATTTCATTATTTACTTTAAATTTATGCATATATTATATTTGCTATAAATATGTATTCTGGGTATATGTATATACACCCACACAGACATACACATATATATGGGGAGAGAGAGAAGAATCTACTTCCCTGAAATATCTAATATCTACTCCTCATTTCTAGTTCTGATCTCCAGAATAAAACTAATCAAGCATAAGCAATCACATTTATTTGCTCTCTATAGATGTATAAAAGCATCTACATTAATATGTCTAATACTTCTTTCTTGATGGCTGAGTAACCGCCAGTCTTTTAACTGATTATAATATAATGATTCCTGATCCTAAATCATTTCCTGTGATATTGCTCCTAGTTGAACATAATAATCCAGGTTTTGTCATATCAGTCCCATTCTGAAAATCTCCATTGGATCATATGTTGATCTTCTTTTTGAGTAGTTTTAAGATTATGTATGTAATCTTAAGATTATGTACGTAATTTAAGGTTATGTACAACTCTATATCCCGAAACCTTGCCTTAAGGCATATTTCAAAATTCTATGTTTCAGATTTTAAAAAATAATAAAATTCACATACTACATAATATATATGACATCCCTAGCAAGTGGTACCTGGTAAATTATCACTTGTTTATATTAGGGGATAAAGACTAAATATCTTCTCATATGTCCACATGATATTTTGCCACAATCTTATTTTAGATCATATCAGCAATAAATACATATCATAATTCATTTTGCAGAGCATTTTTGTTTTAGAATTATGGTTAAGAAGTTGTAGCTTTTTAAATAACTTCATCATAAAGTCAATTTACATTGCAATCACAGTAAACAAAACTTCCTGCAAGATTTTAAGTGAGCTGTATTTTTGGTGCTTTGTACAGATCTTGATATGTTTGGTGCTCAATAAATATTGAGTGAACAACACTGAGCATGTAATCACACCACTGGTTTTGTGGCCAAATTGTAGACTTTTACATTTTTGTATAATAAGACTAATAGTTAAGTATGCCAAACCATGATATCTCCTTTTCTTTATTGTTTATTTTTGTATCTCCAACTTTTGTATTAATCATATTATAGAGAGAAATTCATAACAT